TGCATCCCGGTGGTGCGTCTAGCACCATCGATAGGTGTGTGGAGGTGTGTCTCCAGCGGATCTATCTTTGGTGGATCTGCTCGGATTTGGTTGTTCATCTATGTTCTTGTGTTTTCAGGTTGGATCCTTCCGATCTACGCTACTCTTCATCAGCGGCGGCTATTGTTCTGGTGCGCTGATCCAATGGGGCCTTAGCACGAAGACTTCCGACTGTCTACTACAACAAGTTTTGCACAGCTCCAGCGAGCGAGGGGCGATGACGGCGGCGCGCCTTCGGCTCGCTTCAGTGTGTGTAGTCGTCGCTAGATGATTTACGAATCTGGATGTAATTTTTATTATTTCTTGTGTTTGTTGTACTGCCATGATTGAAGATGAATATATCAGAAGTTTTCTCGCAAAAAAGAAAGAAAGAAAAGAAGCTACAAAAGAGCAATCAAATTCGAAAATGATGGGTTTATGAAGGGTAATACCGATATAAAGCCCCACAAGTGTAGCTCTAACTTCCGCTTCCTCCATGCTTCTGCAATTCCCAATATAATCCCAAGAAAAAATCATAACTTCTCCGGTATGTTTCTTGGCAACCATCCCCACACTCGCAACACTAATGGCCTCCACAAAACTTGCCAAAACATTGATATTAATGAGCTCAGGATTGGGAGGCTGCCATGTCACACATTTTCCATCCACATCATTAGAATAATTGAAGTCATCCGCCATCTCCTTACATTTGCTGCTAATCTTCATCTTCATGTTGGAATGACAAAACGAGAAGGACTTCCAGTAGTTTTAAATAAAACTCACAGAGGCAGATATAGTATCTTTACCTCTACCAAAGATCAAATCTTTCCTCAAGTGCAACGGGGTGAGATAGTTGGACAGTAATATTTGTAAACTAGGTTTGGTCACACCTCATGGTCGAGTGAGGCGTAAGGAAATCTCCAACCCTAACTCTCAAATCACCCGCAATAGTTCAAATCGAACTATCCGGATGTGTTTTGACATCCAACTCGGTAGAAAGGCATAGCCGATCACCGTTTTCCGCGTGTCCTTGGTCTATTCCTTGACACAAAGCAAAGTTTTGTTCAGATGTTTCTATTTCAAGCCCAGGTTCGAAGGGAAATTCACTCCACCCAATTGGCCGAGGGTGCCTTTTGCAGGTTCCTAGTCTTTTCCTTGGTCCATGGACCTGCTTCATTGGAAGGGGGTGGTTGCATTTGGTCCATGGCGATGGGGTGAAAATGGACAAATTTGACCATTTTCAAAAACTTTGGCGCAAAATGAACCCGATCTAGATTTTTTCACAAAATGGCCCGTTTATTTAGATACCTAGGGTTGGGATGCGGGCCAGAGCGTCGTGCTCTCTTGCATGGCGCCCCGGCCAGAGTATCGTGCTCTCTTGCATGGCGCCAAGGCGTCATGCTATCTACCATGGTGCCCCAGGCCGAACATCATGCAAATGAGTCATTTTGTGAAATTATTTTGGACCAGGTTCATTTTTTTGCTAATGTTTCAGAAAAGGGCTAGATTTCTCAATTTTCACGACAATGGGGGCATGAGGCTTAGTGGGCTTCACCTTAATTTTGGCCTCTTTCCTTTGTGGCCATTCTTGACTTTATATTTGACCTTTTCTTTTATGTGTCTAATTCTTTCGTGGTTTGTACCATGTGCGGAATTGAGCATCCTCTGGCGGATAACCCATGTTTTGTCTCTTGATTGTTGAACATATCTTTTTTTTGCGAGAAGACATATTAACTTATCTGAAAAACCCTAAAAAATAATCTAAAATGAAGATATATGTATGGGATGTTATATATGGCAGACTGCCAGCAGATCAATCTTGTAATAAATAATCAATCTTGTAATAAATAGTCCGATGATGATACGCGCATACCCCCTCTGTAAACAAATGTAGGACGTTTTTATAGTTTAAATTAAATGGCAAAAACATCTTAACATTTGTCTACAGAGGGAATATTTGTCATCCGATAGTATTGTTATGTCAAACCTGATAATACTTGACGAGCCAATCTGTATTACCCTTAGAAAATTTGTTGGCTAGTGGCTAATAAATCAGTTAGTCCAGAAAAAAAAGATACAGTCAATCAAGCGAGAGATAATTTCTTTCTTTTGCTACAAAGAAGATACATGCAATCATGAGAGAAATAATTTCCTTCTCTCTGAAAGGCTAAAAATGAAACTACAAGAAATTAGAAGAAACATCTTACATTATGAAATTTTATCAAAAACAAATACACCTTATATATAAAGGAACGAAGGGAGTTATTTTATTTCAGAGCAACCCGGAAAATGGGGACGTAGCTTATTTTTCCTCCTTTCTATAAGCATGTGTTTGTGCGATCAGGGTAATTTTTCTGAAGTCCTAAACATGCAGGAGACAGGCTGGCGCCTTGAAAGCATACGCTAAACGCTGGGGAAGAAAGGGGTAAAGGACATGAAGTAAAATGCGGATATACCCATTCTAGAAAAGAATCCGGATATAGCTACCTAGCTGCGTCCGTTCACGGTGTTTAAATCCAACTGGAGGTACGTAGTACTGTACAACTACAAGGCAGTCCAATGCTCCAAGCAACAAGACAGAATACACCTTCCACCAGATCGAACGTAGCTAGAGCCGTACACTGCAGTGCTGTAATAGCTGTACGGCGCTAGCTTTTCAGAAAGTGGCCCCGTCTCAAAACCCAGAGCTAAGTCCCAGGTTGACGATGACTCGAGGTCTTTCTTATCCACACGAAGATTAGACACATGAGTACGATCTTGCAGTCATGCTTATCAACAAGCTACTAATCGATATACTTTCCATGCTAAAAAAGGGCACATATGGGTATATCTCGGTTGACCTGGTCTATACAGCCTAACTAACAGTGTATCAAAGTGACCAAGTAGGTTAACTGTCTCCCACTATCTTTGCCGTAAATTACTGAGGGAACCGAATTACTCAGGTAAATGCAACTACCGAGTGTGCCATTCTCGGCTGAAAGTTCAGCAGCACCAACTACTCCATCAATACTCGCAGTCCCTGTCACTGGTCACGTGTCAGCTGAAAGCAAATAATGCACCTATCTAGGCTAAGCATATCTATACATAGGCTACGTGCATGGCAGGTGCAGGACAGCAAAACATCAAGAAAAAAAATACGGGAACATCAACTCCGGAACGCTAGCCGCAAGGAAATACAGTATCACGAATGGTCACACATTAAATGAGAATGCATGCATGTGATCGTGCCACCTTTGTTGTCAAGGACACACCTCACCTCCATCTCCATGCATGCATAGCTCTCTCTCTCTCTCCATGGGAGTGGAGTACTGCCTCTATAGGCTAGTAGAGCAGGAGCTAGTAGTAGAAACTAGTAGAACATGCAGTCGATTCAATTCTCTTCAATGCAATACCTTTTCAGTGTTTCCACAGCTTATCTGCTCAAACTGATCACAGGCTACATATAGAGGCCTCCTATATAGGAGTGTATGTGTAGTGCATCATCAAGAAATATCTAGCGGCACGAATAGTATGGAAGCATATAACGGCTAGCTTAATGTTTGTGTGCAACTGTGTAATGTGCTACTAAGTAGGATCTGAGTAGTATGCTGAATGTAGTAAGTGGATAGCTGGATGCGTGCTACAATGGCTTATAGCTGTTGCAAGAAAGCTAGCTTAAGGCCCACGAAAGAAGACGAGTGGAAAGAAACCTAGCTAGCTTGCTAGCTAGCTAGGTGGCCACAATGCAATGTCCGGTCTTTCTTGCTACATGACACCTAAAAAGAACCAGGTTCACACATGCACGGTAGGGTCGGCAGCATTGGCACCGTGGCCCGGCGAGCACAGCTGTACGTGTGTGCTCGTCTACATAGTGCGCACTATTAATTCCTGGTCTTAGCAGTTGAGGCCGGCTTAACTAAAGAACCACCTTTTCCTGAAGATGGGCCATATATAGGTACGTTTTTAGTACTACTACTGTGTGAAGAGATCTGAATCTTATACACGTACTACCATCGAATCGATCGACGTGGACAGGGCATCACGAGCAAATCGAACAAGATTGATTAGTATAAAAGGAGGAGAAGAGTGAGCGTGGCATAGAAACCTTTTAGCCACTGCATATCTCTATCTCTTTTATTTAACTTATTATCAGGTGTAGATTTGGAAGCTAATTAACGACCGAGCTAGCTAGGCAGCCATGCACGCAGAGGCGCGGGATAATTAACCTAGCAGCGCATGCAAGTGGAGGGGAGCACGCATGGGTTTGTCGGCCACTTCCACCGGCCGGTCCTGCCTGGTACGACCCGTTGACTGCTACATGCATCGCCCCTGGCTGTGGCTGGCCGGCCGGCCCGATCGCCTTGGCAGCATGCAGCGTGCTACCTAGCTCCGGCCGGCCTCTCCCACGGCCTTGGGTTCGGGAAATCACTGGTACATGCGTGTACGGGCGGGAACAGCAGCTAGTGCATGCATGCATGCATGCACCATGCGTGCTGGTACCTAGACTCCTAGAGATGCAAGGTATTGCTATGGCATCCTTAATTCCCCATATGTATGCAACGTACGGCGACTTCGTTGTCATTACCACTCGATTCATGCACGATGCACGAGCGTTTTAAGAACAAAGTTGAGAAGAGGACAGCAAAGTAATCACGTAACATGCAGTAGAAAAAACCAATGAGGAGTATGTAAGCATGCATCCAATATGAACAAACAAAAGATTACCGGCACAAGAGAACAAGAGAGTACGTGCTAGATAAACTGTGGCCACACAAACAAACAGCATAAGATAAGGTTTACCAAGCCAGAGTACTTACTATAAGCGAGCAGATGCTTACTCCTAAGTAACACATAAGAAAACAAACATATACAATACTCATATATGCACATCGATCAAACTAATATAACTACCGACCTTGGCTACAAGCTAACTCCTCATAACTAGCTGGTCGTACTTGGGTCATGCTCGATGAGGCCTGCAAGATGGCGCCTAAAACTAGTTTCTAACAAAGGACGTCCTTGAGCAGCTTGTACCTGCGGCCTCCCACCTTGGTCGACCCTCGGCGCCCGCTCTCCTGGTCGCCGCCGGTTGCCGCCTTGTCGATCCTGCCGGAGTAGCCCGTCATGGCCGAATCCTGGCTGACGGAGGCCTGCTGCCTCCCGGAAGTCGACGCGCTCCCCCTGGCCTTCCCGGAGACGTCGCTGAGGCACCAGTCGCACATATCAGCCCCCGCCGAGGCCGGTGCCCCGTCGCCATAGTAGTTCGTGCAATAGCTGCATGCAAGCACCGCATATATGAGAAAGATGAACTACTACTACTGCAAGATTAGCTAGAAAACATACATATACTAGCTAGTGTTTTGTTCCCTCATCCATGAGAGTTCCTCATCCATTCATATCAAGAAGCTAGTGTTGGGATGGTGAGTGACGGTGACTCATCCATTCATATCAAGAAGTGGCGGAGGAGAGCGAGGGGGAGGAAGAAGAAGAGATACGTACGAGTGCTGGAAGCGGTAGCGGCAGCGCGCGCACCGGAAGAGCTTGTCGGGGAAGCCGATGTCCCCGCACATGGAGCAGACGGTGGCGGTGCCGCCGTCCATGGGGAGATGGGATGTAGAGGTAGCACAAGAGCGAGGCAAGATCAGGAAGGAATATCAGGGACAGAAGATGGGTTGGGTAGGAGGCGGGAGGGGAGAGGGGTGAGGACTGAAGAGGGCCCGAGGCGTATTAAATACGAGAGAGAGAAAGGTGGAGAGGCGGAGGAAGGGGGGCGCACACGACAACCTTAACCCAGCGAGCAGACAGTACACATCCATCTCAAACAACGCACGGCAGCATATATAAAAAAAATCTTATTGCACGGTGAATTGGCTAGATAGATCTACCCGAGTCGGTGCATGCATATGCGAGCACCAGTGCTCACCACCGCTCCAGGATCCAGATTCAAGACGCCGAGAAAAACTTCTAGCCAAGTCAAGTTGAAAAGAAACGGATGATGCATGCTGGGTGCGCTGAAGCTACACATGAATGTCTCCGGGTCGACGTCTTTCCAGTTTTACTACTAGTAAGCGCGAAAAGCGGCAAGAAACTGCCGAACGATTTTTTTTTTTGCGGGAAATGAAACGTACATTTAGTGGACCCTGCGTGTACTCTAATTGCCTAAGCTGCTACTCCGTGTTGTTGTATAGATGAACCGTGCACGTACGCGTTTTAGGTGTCCTTTCCCCCCAAATTAGTCGGTTCTATGGTGACGCTTTCACGAAAGTACCAACTGGATTTCGACCGAAACAAATTTAGCTAGCCTATTTGCTACTAGCTCCAGCTTGCTTGCGAAGCAAGGTTCGGTTGGATGGTTAGGAGGTGCTATCCTAGCCCATCAGGGTTCAACTCCTATACACCCGTGCTCGCATTTATTGAATTTATTTCAGGCATTCAGGTGATGTGCATTCGGTGGGAAAAGACGTTCCGTCGACTATGAAGGCTTCTGTAATGACTTCGTTAATCATAAGATGTTGTGTCAGCCCAGTCTTTCAGAGATCCTCACAGGGATAGGGTGTGCATCTGTGCGTTCATACATGAGAGTGTACGTGCGTATATATGAGTGTATGCTATGTGTTTAAAAAAACTCCTGCCTAGTTTTATTCTTTTTTGATAAAGAGAGCTTCTTTGATTTCTGTTAGAAGAAACCACAATGCCTTACTACTACCAGGACCAACATAAAGCAAAGAAGATTGACGATGTATGATCTACCTGGGCACCATGAACTAGCCTCACCTGCCCACGGAGACCACAGAAGGGCTATATCAGTTAACATGCCGATAGCCCACACGGTAACCATTCTCCATGCTCCATCACCCTAGGAATCCACAAGCCGGATCTCTAGGATATAGATTAACGCAGGGACGGAGCCAGAAAATTGAGCCATTGGGTTCACTCACTGAACTATTGTCAGAAATTGATATAAATTAGTTACGTGTAATGTCGGATTTTACACAATCACATAATAATAGTATAGCATCCAAAGATAACATGATGAATAGAATTATGATATCACTTATCACATTAGTGTGACGGTAGAAAATGATGAGTGTTGTACATACCTGTTGAATGAAATCATAAAACCTCTCATGTTAAAAATAGAGTGGTACCAAAATAACTTCAAGTCTTAGGTTTAGTTTCTCATATTCCTGAAAACATTGAAGCAAATGACAAGTTAGTTTGAAAAGTTTAAAATTAAAGACCAGCAAGCAAAAGAAGCATGTTAAGTCAGTCACATTTTTGGTACCCCATTTCGATTCCATCATCTCAAAAAGATCAATCAAAACATTAATACTAATGGTAGATAACACAGTTTGAAACACATAGCAAAATTAAAGAATCACTTATGAACCGATTACCCATTTTGTTACGCAACTTTTTCTTGACAACGTTCATAACTGAAATGCATCTTTTCAATGATGTTGTGTCATCTCGCAATAGCTTTACACAATGATAGATAAAAAGTAACATGCTTATTGATCAAACCGTTCCAGATTAATTTTTATGATGGACAATCCAAAAAAGGTAGTGGCCTTGATTAAATATCTTTTCGTAGTATCACCATCCTCTAAAATTTTAGTCGGATCATAAGAAACACATTAAAATTAATTCATCTCGCTTTTAAAACCGCTTGCAACAATGATATTTGAGGCACTTCGCGTACGCCTAACGGATGGCCTTGAAGTTCCTGCATCATTTTTTGGATCTGGTGATCGACTCGAGGACTTCCCTTACAGAAACTCCTTTGGATAGGCTAAATCAATCAAACAGATTTCATTCTATTCCAAAGCAACTTAGAAACAAACACAAATGGTTAATAGTTCCTTCCTTTCCACAGTAAGGGCATTTCCGCATCACCAGTCCATCCCCTCCGGAGTAAGTTGTCTCTAGTCAAAATACTATTCCGAAGCACCAAGCAAACGAAAACTTTAACTCTAGGAGGCATTTTAACTTTCCACATGAAGTTATGTGAATATTTGGCCCCATTTTCAATCATGTATCTATAGTACTCCCTCGTAAAGAAATATAAGAGCGTTTAGATCACTAAGCAGTGATCTAAAGCTCTTATATTTCTTTACAGAGAGAGTATAATTTCATAGTGTACAAATCAATTTTATTAAGGGTCCATTTAATAGAATATCTTTGATCTGTTTAAACTACATCATCACAAGCCTATTCAATATGATTCCACGGATCTAATGAGTCACCATAAAGGGTTCTTCTAAACTTAACATATTTGTTTTTATCAAAACACATATTGTAGTCTAGGAAAATTGTTCTTAAGAGGTTTATCCCCAATCCACATGTCTTCTCAAAATATCACATTTTGCCATCCCTAATCAAAAAACTTACACAAAGAAAGAAAATGATCTTCGTGTTTAATAATTCCAGTCCAAAATTGGGAGTCCCTATTTATGATTAATCCCAGCAAAATTCAGGTATTTGTTAAGAAGCACCCCTTGCCATAAACCATCAGTATTAAAGAGTTTCCACCACCATCTACATACGACATTCGTCCGAGTTTATTAGTCCCCATCGCGTTTTAGGTTAAACTTTGACCTTTATTTAACTATAAAAAAATAAGTTATATATACCACAAAAATAGTATTTTTGAAAACCTCTTTCTAATGTGAATCCAATAATATAAATTTTGTGACATACTCTTATATTTTGTTAGTTAAATCTACAGTCAAGATTTAGCTTAAAATATGAAGGAGACCAATAAATCCGAACGGAGGTAGTAGTAAATCTTTATTCATTAAAGAGAGGTTCTTTATCCCCAAACCCCCCATATTTTTGGGTCTACAATCCTCAGACCATTTCACTAAATGATATTTTTTGATGCACATCTTTTGCCCATAAAAGTATAGATCTAAAAAAATACAGCCTCTTATTCACATCAATTGAAAGTCCATCAGAAAACATCATAAAGTAAGGAATACCGGTCAAAGAGGACTATATAAGAGTTATGAACCAACACCGACAAGTAGTCTGCCTTGCCAATTGCTACATTTCCTTTCCATTTTATTTTCAGGAAGTTTCCAACTTTTACTTCTAATTCTTTTCGCATCGACATATAATCGAAGCACTAGGGGAAAACATGGCTTTGGTCCAAGCAAGGCAAGCCCATTAAACCCGGTTCACTCACGAACCGGGACCCATGGGGGCATAGGTCCCGGTTCGTGAGGCCGGGAGCCGGCCAGGCCTCGTGGGGCAATGGTCCCGGTTCGTCTGGCCCCTTTGGTCCCGGTTCCAGGCATGAACCGGGACCAATGGGCCTCGCTCCTGGCCCACCACCATTGGTCCGGGTTGGTGGCTTGAACCGGGACCAAAGGTTGTCCTTTAGTCCCGGTTCCAGCCACAAACCGGGACCGCAAGCAGAGCAGTGGAGTGCTCTATTTTTTGGGAGAGGTGTGTGAGAGGTGTGTTGTGCTCTAGCTCACCTCCTATGCACATGAGGTGTTCGATGAAATGCCCGAGCCACACTTAAGCTTTCTCCTCTCGAAGCTCCTTGTCCAAGCTCCATTTTCCTCAAGATTTCTCTAGATTAGGCTGTCTGTCATGTCTCGTCCCCGTCCTCACCGTCGTCGATCGCCCGCGCCGATCTCGTTACCGGCACCACCGTGGTGAGCCTCTTGTTCTTATCTTATTTCTAAAAGGAAAAAGTTCTTACTTGTATGATTTAGATAGATACTTGTGTAATTTTATTACTTATTATTGTTTGTTATTATATAGTGCGATGGTTTTTGTATCCGCCTTCGTCGGCCCTCATCCTGTCTATGATTCGGATGTGGTATATATATTATCTTCTATAACTATTTATTTAATTTAGTGTTTATGACAATTATGCCGAGCAACGTGACATAGATTTTTTTATCTAGGAGGTATGTGAACTGGAAATTCCAACTGACCCTATTGTCGAGAGGTTAAATTTAGTCGAAGAAAAAAACAATTACTTGAAGGAAAAATTAAAAAAAATTGAGGAGGAGAAGATGATATTGGAGTTGCATGTTGCGGATGTCGTCGATGATCACAAGATCAAGACGGATGCAATGCACTTGAAGATTAGAAAGATTAGAAAATATGCCATCATACTGAGGCTTGGTGTCATTATGTCATTGGATCAATTGTTAACTTAGTTGTGATTATGATTACATTTGTTGTTGCATTGAAATGTTTTAGATAGTTTCAATGTATGGTTTAATTAGATGCTCTGGAGAGCTATATGTTGTTCAATGAGAACTATGTATGTACTTTGGTTTTAATGTGATGATGAACTTATATTAATTTGGTCACTTCTGTATTCATGATGTTCTGTAATGGTTTTTGACACACTTAATTATATATAATGCATGCAGATGAACCGGCAATGGATGTACGGTGACAGACGCACCTCCGAGTACATTAAAGGTGTGCATAATTTTCTCGAAGTACCTGAGGCAAACAAGCAGAATGGTTTTATGTGTTGTCCATGCCCTATATGTGGGAATGCGAAGTCTTACTCTGACCGAAAAATCTTTCACAACCACCTGCTTTATAAGGGTTTCATGCCACACTATAA